AAACCTGTCACTCTGTGGAATTCCTCTTTAATAACCCGCAGAGGTTTATGACCAGGGAACTGTACAAACGTGTGTAAGAAGCATTTAAGTGCCAGACATACTGTACGAACGGCTCTACACACAGTTGCCTTTCCCACATGCTCTGCATCGCCCACATTGTACAAAAAATGCCCTGACGCAAAAAACCGAAGTGCTATGTACAGAATGTTTTCTGTGCCAAGCGCAGACCCGCGGTTTGTGACATTTGCAATATGTGGTTTCAAGAGATATGTTATGTAAATTAACGATTCTTTTGAAAACCGATAACGCTCTTTCAAATAATCATTAGGAAATGAAAAGACATCAATACGTGGTCTTATAACTCTCAAAAAAAAACGAAAAAAAACTTGTATAATTTGTGCCTCCACGTCCACAGGATCGTCATCAAAAGGGCACGCCATGCTCAGTAACCTTCTGAAACAAACTGACCCTAGAACATAACCTGCTCAGTAGCAGGTTATCTTCAGAGAGTAAGCTGCTATGGTTACGTACATACCCAGAAAGTTAACCTCCGTTTTTGGAACCGAAAGTTGAGGATATCCACTAACTTACCCTTAAACTTACCCGGGTATGTCACATAACCTGCTTTCTGGAATACCCCCCTGGTCAGGGTGAAACAAAATCATTGTCTGGAATTTTACTTTCTGGACTTGACCTATCCACCTCTGCTACTACAGACCAGTTTTACACCAATATAACCATAAACAGACAGTAGGCCCACGACATATACAGTACATGCATATAACATAGCAGAAACACCCCCTGCTTCAACATCTTAGGAACTGTCTTCCTCTGTAAGATATAAGATAACTGATATCAGACTCCGTCTCATGCACCTGCTCTCTTTAGTGTGATAATTAGATTCTGATACAGATTTTGTTACGTTTTGCAGTCCAGGTTGCAACTCTGATCTATTCTCATCTCAGATTCCATGTGTTTACACCCTGTTTCCAGGGAAACGTAGAAGACATCCAGCAGCAGGCAGCATTAGGCTTTCCTCTTCTCACATTCCATACATCTGAGATTCTCTCCTGCATTTGTCTACAGATTTTAGGTGACTTCAGGTTTATGTACACTCTAGATGCAAAATCTCATTACAGATCACAAACAGTTTAGAGACATCGGTTAGTCTAATTGCATGTCTTTGGGCTATAATTGAAATTCAAGCAGCAAGTAGAGAACATGCAAACTTCAGGAACACTGCGGGAGGGATTCAGGAGCCTAATAGGTGTGAGGTGACAGTGCTACCCACAGAGATATTTTCCATTCATCCACCCATCTCTCCATCTTCTGTACCTGCTTGTCCTATGCAGGGTTGTGGGGGTTTGGAGCCGGGGAAGTAAAAAATGATAGATGAACATAAATAAAACTGCAGACACTTTAGGGTAGGAGAAGTTCCCCGTTTAATGGGTCTGTTCGAACAGGGATTCCCCTCATGCAAAGGAGAAGAGCCCAGACTTACAAATCAACACAGTTTTTATACCTTTTCTGCAAATGACATCCCTGCACAAGATCACCAGATGTTCCTTATGGTTCCTTGCAGTCTTCCAAGGCCATTCACCCCCTATTCTCCCTTATCTTGTACAAAGACTTCTCCCACTCTCATTATTTCTAACAATCAACAACATCTTTTTATAGAATATGATATTATACAATGCATTTAGGACTATATGGATTACATATTCTTACCTAATGCTGATTCAGTTCCTGCATATGTTCTGTAGTGCAGTAAAGCATGAGTTAATCTTAAATTGGTTGTTCTGTTTTACACAGATTAGTGGCTGCGTTCTCCTCGTAGCCGGGAGAGTAAGCTAGGGCACCAGGATACGTTGTTTTCTTATCTTCAGCCCTTGAAACTATGGTGGCACATATCTGCAGTACACAGTCACATTCACAGATGGCCTAAGGCACTGACAGCAATCCCACAAGGCCTAAGGCACTGACAGCAATCCCACAAGGCCTATGGCACTGACAGCAATCCCACAAGGCCTATGGCACTGACAGCAATCCCACAAGGCCTAAGGCACTGACAGCAATCCCACAAGGCCTAAGGCACTGACAGCAATCCCACAAGGCCTAAGGCACTGACAACAATCCCACAAGGCCTATGGCACTATGTGCCTGTAATCAGAAGGTTGCCAGTTCAAACCCAGCCTCAGTACATCTGTGGCTTAACCCCCAGCTACCTGGGCACCACCATGGTTGGCTGCCCTTCACAGACAGTTTACTCTATGAAAAGAGCAAGTTGAGGGAGGCATAAAGACAATTTCCCAGTAGGGATCAATGAAGTATCTATATTTATTATTATGATCCTACAAGCTTCCCATCTGCATAGTTAAATCATTTAGATTATTGATGGATTGACCAGAATAATTTTGCCAAAACAGCAACAACTCATTGCATTGCCACAACTGCAAGAATGCTGAATACAACTGTCCAGTTTTAAAAACAGTGCAAAATAATGAGACTCAAAAAGTAACACATATAGTTAAGTAGGCCTAGGCATAATTGACAAACATTTAGATATTTGACAAACGTTTAGATAGTCACCGACTTTTCATCTGTCTGTAACTGAGTGATGATCTCAAAGTCTGCTTTTGTATAATAAAGTACAAAGACAAAAAGCATTGGCTGACAAAGGACTTTCTTGAAATCGAAAATCTACTTTCAGTTCTTATCAACGTTGATTATATAATCATAAGAAGTAATAAATAATACAGAGAAGTATTTATTTTAAAATTCTGTAAGTACGATTTTGAAATACAAAAGTGCACTAGGGGGCGCAACAAATCCGGAAAAGGAAACAGCCATTCGTTTTAGCAGCGGTTGTTATTTCTCATATGTCTCGCTTTGTGCATTAATGGACAATAAAGAGAAATAAAAATGGGTAAGTGTTTTACCATATCAGATTTTATCTTTGCAATTTGCTGTGTTTCAAAACGTTTGCTTGTTGGATTTCTGGTGAGGCGCTGTCGTCTTCATTTGCGTTTTATTTCAAGTAAATGGATGATCATGGAAATGACCACGCTGTCGCTATTGTTATTTGTACAGTATTCCTGGAAGCAACGCTGAAAGGTAATAAAAGTAATATATTGTCTAGCTGGCAGAAGGCTTATTTTATCGCCCAGTGCACCCAGTAATTGGTCACTCCTTGAAAGAAGTGCCAGTTATAGGCAGCTTAATGGAGGGTATATGTATATTTATATACAATGTTGATTTTCGCGTCTTTATAAGCGAGTTCAAGTTGTGTGGATGTTCCTGAAACCAGCATAGTGATACAAGCAAGAGGCGTCACTCTATGTACACAGGGCAAAAAAACCAGATTAACAGCAAGCTATGTAAACGTGTGAAGGTTATTCTGAACAGAAAGTGCCCTTTCGAGTTACGTTGTACCGATCGCTTCATGATTACTTATTTAAAGGACTCGGGCGCTTTTGTACTTTTAACCCAAGTTACTTTCTCCTAAAAACGTGTCTTGAGGGTAAATCGACATTTTATTTTTTTAAACACCACTTCCTTTATCGCAGCAGCTGTTAACAAGAATGCCACAGCCGAAAATCAAGCTGGTGGTGACTGGAGATGATTTTGGATACTGTCCCAGGCGGAACCGGGGGATAGTGGACTGCTTCCTGGCTGGGGCGATTTCCAACGTGTCGCTGTTGGTCAACTCCAGCTCGGCTAAAGATGCGGCAGAGTTGGCGATCAGGTATGAGTCCACATTTCCATACAGCCATGCTTTATTTTCTCAGTAATGCCGTTGTTCTGTCATAAAATACTACCTATCGAGAAGTGCTATCGAGCCTTTCTGCGCATGTGCAGTTCCACCGTCTTGGTTTTAGGGGTTAGGGTTAGGGTTAAGGGAAAGGTTTTAGGGGTTTTGTGGGGTTAGGGTTAGGGTACGAGTTAGGGTTAGGGCTATCGATTAGCACTACGGTAGCATTTTTCGACAAGACAGCATATATCGACAGAACACCGTGGTTGTTTGCTTCCTTGTCGACGTTCACATTTAGCACTTCTTGAGAAGAAGGGTGTACAACAGGTGTTCCGGGCAATTCAGTTTCCCTATGTTTCCCCTGTCCCGCGCTGATTTGTACACGGTTTCGCTGTTGTTTTCATGTCTTTTTAAGAAGCTCTTGAGGTAAACAAGCCATATATTTTAAAACATCACATGCCTTTCGATGTTTTTCGTTTTTACAGATAATAAATGAAAGTATTTAATTCGCTGGATAGAGATATTTCTTGATGAAAACGGTATAGTATTGCTTATATAAGACTATATTATGCGTGACGATCTACTGTATTCACATGTAATAATGTACCTGAGTGATTTTCAGACATCTCACATACATATTTGCCTAAATATTAGGAGAAACATTATTCCCTGATAGACAGGGGAAACAGGGAAACCGAATTGCCCGGAACACCTGATTTCTGATATGCAGTAAACCATGGAGTAAGCTACTAAATCGCATTTTGATGGTTCCTTAAGCGTTTCATTGAGCACCTCCTGGAAATGCATACTTTAGTTTATTCTACCACAAGACAATTTGATTAGAACGAAATTAATCAATATGATATTCAAGTCCTTATTTATTTGAATTAGGTGTGCTTTAACCAAAAAATGAAAGTATATAGAATGGCTGAGATATGTATGGTAACTACTGCCCTAAATCACTATACAGATACACAATGTACATGTGAAGGCTTTATATTTTTAAATTATTTGTAAAACCCAGTCGTTTAAATAGCACCTTTTTTAAAATATGCAAGAACAACTAAGTGGTATCGACAGATCGCCTGTTTGCGTTTTTGTCAAGGCTTTGTGTATCTATTGCATGGAGTTTGTTCTGATGAATTACCTGGCATATGTCTGTGATTTGGCTCTCTAAGACACTGCATTCCCATTGGCCTTCACGCCAACCTGTCCGAGGGCGTCCCCGTTTGCCAGAAGCTCAGGCGGGACTCCACACTTGTCAATGATAATGGGTTCTTCCATGGTAAGATGGGTTTCCGGAAAGTTCTACAGAAAGGCCTCCTGAGCATGGCTGAGGTAAGCCTGTGCAGGTCACAGTCGTCCACCAGCTGGAGTTTTCATTAACATTTGAAAATTTCAATTTGAATCTCTCTAGGCCATAACCTGCAGAGATGTATGGATCACTTGTACAGGTCATATTCTGGTATCCAGGGCTATTAGAAATAGGGTATATACATGTTTTTGAAAGGGTTAGGATGTAAAGTTGCACATGTCATGTCAGGGCGTTTAAAAGACTGAGACACAGTGGTGTGAATGCAACCACAGACAAATCCAAAATAGGCTTTCTGTAAACAGCAATAAGCTGAATCCTTATGCTAGAAGTACCTGAGAAATGTTGCTTATTAGGGCTGGGCGATATTCAGTTACATCATTTAATCAAAATTTGGGCTTTTTTGCAGTGTGTAAAATGTCAGTATTCATGTTAAAACTGTAATACATGCTACAGTCCAACAGCTACTGCCAAGCAGTTTTATTAAATGTTAATACAGTCCCATATCAGCACATGTACTACACACACAAAAAACAACTACACTGAGACCAGCAGTAGTTCTTGTTCAGATTTGAACAAAAAAGGTACTAATATCATTTGCTCACAGCATCAATGTGGATTTGAGAGTTTTAACGTTGAGTGAAGAAATGTAAAGCTTAATGTTTAAAAAAACCAGTGACAACCACAGGCCATTCTAGGTCCCGCTAGAGGGAGATTTAGCCATCCTATTTTTTTTCTCAGTCTCACTTGAAAAATAATTATTCTAAACTCATTATTTTCATACACATACACATTTTATAGATGGGACCCCCATTGGAGACCCTTGGCTGAACGTGGCCTGGTTGACAAATCAGATAAATTTACTGCAGCACATGCAGCAGAAACGCCCAGTGCATTAGAGGCAATACTGCAGATATACTAATTGGACTGGCATCCATTTCTAATGGAAACGTGATTTGATGAGTGTGTATTAATGGACATACACTTCCTGTCGGTGGTTTTTGTTTTCTTGTGTGTGTGGACATATGCATGCATTGAATTGGCATTCTGTGATATGGAGATGTATATTGTACGCTGTATATTAACACTTCATTGTGCTGTATTTTGGATTGTTCCCCAGGTGGAGTTGGAGCTGCAGGCCCAGGTGAAGTTGTTCTGTGATTTGTTGGGGCATCTGCCCTCCCATATGGATGGTCACCAGCATGTCCACGTGCTGCCAGGTAGGGCAACGGCCTGTACTGCTAAAGGCTGCTCAAGGAAGGTTAGGGCATGGCCACTAGCTGGGAGCACCTTGAGTCTGTGCCTGTGTGCGTGACCGCGTTGTATTAGGAATACGTACCTGATCGGTCTCTCCTTGCGCTTAGCAGAGGTGAGGGATGTGTTTGCCAGGGTGCTGTCGGAATACGGCATTCCTTTCACTCGTGTCCCGGTGGAGCCCAGCCTCCAGTCCTGCTCCTGGCTCCCGCTGCCCTTGCACGAGTTCTACACGCAGGTGGAGAAGGACGCATGGGACTCGTCCACAGTCTTCCGTGCACATGGGATCAGGTAAAGGTGCCCATGCTGTGCCTTTGAGCTGCAGTACAAGTGCAGCAAGGCCACCACAATTAATCTGAAGATGGGCTCTTTTGTAATACCTTTGAAAATGGGAAATTCTGGTGCTTATCTTTAAAAGATTTGTCCTTTTGGGGGAATGAAACAATTAAGCAATGTCACAACTTTACTACATCTATAAATATACCACACTGACATAGTAATTGCATTTATCTACTTTATTTGTCATGCTGATGGAGAAGCAGGTAGGTTTCCATACCTTTACTATGTCCATTGCAGGTGGCCTGATGTTTACTTGGGCTTGACTACAATGGGGGAGAACATGTCTGTCAGCAGCATCAAGAGGGCCATCGGAAAGGCCCTGGCAGCCTGGCAGCCCAAGAGCCCCCTTGCTGTACCCCAGTGTGACACAGTGCGAGGGACACAGGGCCCTGTCACAGTGGAGCTGATGGTGCATCCCGGCTACCCCAGTGACCCCCAACAAGGGGGTTGCGGCCAGGGCCCAGACAGCTTCTCACAGTCTGCAGAGCGGCAGCACGAGCTGGAGACCCTCATGGACCCCCAGCTGCTTGCATTCTACAAGCAGGAGCAAATCCAGCTATGTGCATTTAAGGACCTCTAAACCAATTCTCTTCCAGGGCCAACTGCAAAACAAGCCTTAAATGTTTCTTCTTAGATGGGATTTATCTTTCTCTACCCTTAAGAAAGGATTTGATTACATGGTTATGAAGATGTTTTAAACTTTAAACCCCAGATTCACAGCTTTCTACATTTATAGGTTATATAAAATTAAGTTGGCTTAAAATGGAGAAATACAGCTGTTATGAAATATTTCTAAGAATTGGCTGTATTTTTCAGCATATAGTGTATATATAGTAACTTAGGAAATGTAAATGCCACAGTTTTAAAGAGACTATTTTTAATGTATTTATGAAGTGCTGAAGTTTTAAATTCCACAATCATGACTGACAACTGAACTTTTAAAATAGATTAATTGATGCTATATTTGCTATCACTACTAATGCTCCAATGGAGGAAATTGACTTCAACTGAACTCATAAATGGAAGAGATGAGAGATTCTGATAATCAGCTGTTAATGACTTGCATTAAAATACTGTCAGATTGAACATTTGCTCTCTGGCAGTCCTGTAGTCTGCTTCATCTCAAAAAGGAACATGGTTAAGTTTGGGGTTTCTGTACAAGCCCAAGCAGTTTACTCAAGTTATGTCAGTAAAATTATTGGAGAATTTCATAATTAAAAATCGGTAGACAGGTTAGTATAGTAATTAACACAATTTACATACGGTGCAGACACCACAACTAAATAAGCTCGCTAACCTCATTCTATTTATTTAAAAGCATCAATTTCCAACTGAGGTCCAACTGAGGAACTGTCATCATTAAACATGAACAATTAAAATGTTTGTCTACTTCTCCATACACCCCCCAATCCCTAGAGATGTACAACGCAGAACACTCCAGATTAATTATAAGTCAGACTTTAATAAGGTTTGAATGTTGAAGATTCAGATGTTAAGTTTGTGTTGGAATTTCTGGTACTGGCAGTTGATGGATGCTGCCCCCAAGTGGCAGGCTTGCACCATACACATCCTCAAGAAATGCAGTCACTGGGGTCCACCTATCCACAGGAGACACCAATTCCTCCTCTCTGTATACAGCAGCCCTAACTCAATCCTTGGCATGTTAACTGCTTTTTGATTACTTTTATTTGGAACATCTTATTTTTTAAAACATTATAATGCACATAAGCACTTAACACTGGGTTAGGTTTCCCTGAAATCCCTATCTCTGCATGATTCAAATATGCCAATTGTTCCATTTATTCAGAATGAAAACAGAATGTCAGGTTTATACAGTTTTTGAAAATGTTAAGAAGCAAAACGAGACAGCGTGCAGGCAATAGGAAAAAAGTGAATATCTGCTTTTGGGCAAATGAAAATAATGAATAAACATGAGAAAGAGTGATGCCTTTGGAGTGCAGAACGATGAACTGTGCAAACGCTTCTAGATTCCCACCTTTTTGCTTATGAACTGCATACCCAATGACACAAACATAGGTATTATGGGTATTATCCACAGAAAATGAATGATGCACACAAAAAGTGATTAATTCCTCCTCTCGAGTACTGTGGAGGGTGTCCGGCATGCGCTGCCCCAAATCTTATTCATACTTCCTTCAATGCATGTTGCTTTGGATTCAGCTCATTATTTGACTACTTATCCCTCCCTCTGCAGTTTACACCCATGTCCACGGTTCTCCACTTGCACTTCATCAGGGGATTCTTGTACGGGCTGGAAGAGCAGCACGCTAGCCTGCATCAGCTGAGATAAAGGCTATTCTTACAGGCCAAAAGTATGACAACTGGCAAATAGTTAGCCTGCTTCATTATCAAAAAATGAGCCATGCTACATGGTCATTATACTCAAGTTTCTCAGAATGCCACCCTGAACAGCACCTCCTAGGTTACGTATCCGTTTTTATATTAGATATATATCTATATGCTGAAGCTACTGTATGCCGAGTTCAACACTACACCCTGTTGCAGTGGATGGCTCATTATGATTGGCTGGACATTTTCTCTTACATGTAGCTATACAGACATATTGCTATAGAAGACAAGTAAATACAAACCAAAAAGGGGCTTTTCAGTTTAATAAAAAGCAGGATTTAAGGGTTTGCATTTAAAAAAAAAAAGATGTACTGGGATCAGTTAACGAAAGATCGCCTTGAGCATCAGGACTTAAACGTTCAGTTAACAGTACACGCAATCCAATTCAATAAATATATTACTGTGATATCCGCAAAATAAATAAAACTGGCCACCATTAAATATACAACGGCAAGCTGTCTCGTTATGCTTCAGCAGTGAATTACAGTTTGCTACCTATGCTTTACAGTCTTAAATAACCTTAAACAGTTATGCAAATAACCTTATAGACCAAGCATGCATGTCTAATGTTAAGAGCTGAAACTTGAGTTGCATTGCAAGTAAAAAATATATTTTAGTTTAACTAATCTGGTGAGTTTATTTTCTATATCTATATCACTCTGGAGATTAAAAAAAGGAAATTTCTAAAATATAATTTACTTATTAACCTGGTTATGCTTTCAAAGCGATACCGAACTCTGAATCGTCTCTGATAACAAGCAGCAGGAAAGAAAACCACAAAGGTCTTCTGTGTCCACTGTGAAGACATGATGATGATGATGATGGTAAGCCAAACAGAACCGTGAAAAGCAGTGTTATTTATATATTTTAAAAATCATATTAAAATCAGACACAATGTAATTTCTTCCTTTTTATCAATCTGAAACATTACCATATGGTAGCAACACCAGGGACTAGGCTGTATTTTTATTGATCAGTGTTACAAACTGAAAGTAAGAAAGAAAGAACTTAAAAAGTCTCGTTCAGCTGAACACAGTGCAACTTCATAAGGAAAAGATATGAGGGATCACTCCAGGATGTTGCAACTTGCATCTGTTTGTTAACTTAGCTTTTGTTTTCCCTAAGACAGCTTTCTGAGAGGACAAGAGGAGAAAAGATTAAAGTCAGGGAAGAAGAAAAAGAAAAACTGATTTTTCTTACGAAAGGGCAGAGTCTTGGTGATATGACATAAATGTTGCACTGGAGGTTTATATCATCAAGCAGTAATGTTGAATGAATGAGAGTGGACATTTAAGCTTAAATGTTTTTTTCCATATACCCCCCCACCCCACATCTTAACAGGTTACTCTCAATCCATCCTCCCGTGGGACATTAAAAAGGCCGTCAGGCTGACACAGGGGGCTGGGCCAGATCTGATCCACAGAGTCCTGCTTCGAGGTCGACGTTCAGGAGGACTGGGCTGCTCCATGTCTGCGAAAATATGGTGTGTGTGTGTGTGTGTGTGTGTGTGTTTGTGTGAGCGAAACGGGAGGAGGTAGAGATAGGGGAGGGTGGGGAACAGAGAAGGGAGCTAGGAGAGGGTGGGAGGAGACACACTCGTCAAGTATCAGTCCACCGGTCTCTTTTCGCCATGTTTCTTTGTAAACTCTTCTGCATTCTTAAAGAATTTTTTACGGTCCTTTGAGTATTCTTCCGCTAGGTCAGCCCTCAGTGGGTGCTCGGGCTGAGGGTCATTCACCAGGGCGATGAGCGACTGAATTACTGAAAGAAAAGGACACACACACACACACACATTCTGAGCTGCCTGGCCATATATCACAGCGCCGCTAGCATCTATGCCCACAATGACAAGCCTGTCAACTTGACTGAGGTGGTGCCAAGGTCACCGGTTATAAGAGAAAGAAGAAGTGCATGGCATGGAATAAATAAAGGTACTTTCTGATAGCCCTTACCTCCATTAGTTTGGGGAGCTCAGATCTCAAGAGTTAAACTATGAAATGAACTTGTGAAGTCAAAAGACAAGCATAAGTTAGACTGGAATTCAGAAATCCCTTTCAGAGTGATCTTAAGACAAAAGCAGTCGGCTGTTAAGGGCTTGTGCTCCCGAAGATTGATACCTACCTTGGTCAGTTTTTGTAGCTGGTTTCCAGTTCTCCGCACTGATGACAGGCAGGCATACTTGGCCCTTCTCATCAATGTTGGGGTGATAGATCTTTGTTTTGAATGTGATCTTAGGGGGCTTAAATGGGTACTCAGCGGGAAAAATTATTTCAATTCTGAATGCTCCTTTGTCATAGGGGGGATTGTCCTTAAAAAATAAAATAAAATACACGCTGAGCTGGCAAACAAATGATTAAAAATTGTTCAGGACAGACGTGCCTAAACATTCTAAAAGCATTTTTCCTCAGACTTCACCTGTACAACCATGACAACAAACTATGCCCACAATAATAATAAAATAATAATAATAATAAAATACATGTATTATTATGATAACAGCTCAGATCACAAAATGCAACTAAGACAGGAAGTAGCATACAGCAGTTTTAAGAAATTATAGGGATTTTAAAATAATGGTACACCTGGAGTATGTGGAAGTCAACAGTCATTTCAGACAATTAATCAAATTAATCATCTGAGCTAACCATAACCAGGGTTAAACACTTAAGAATTCTACCAATTAACTGAAAAAAAAAACCCAAAAATGAACTCCATTAATCAGAAATAATAGTGCATCAAAGAAAATGACACAATTTAATAATGCAAAAATAAAACTGGTAAAATGTACACCCTGTAAAGCACCTAGACAGATACTCACAGGAACAATAAGACCTTCTAGATAGATACTCACAGGAACAATAAGACCTTCTAGACAGATACTCACAGGAACAATAAGACCNACAGATACTCACAGGAACAATAAGACCTTCTAGACAGATACTCACAGGAACAATAAGACCTTCTAGACAGATACTCACAGGAACAATAAGACCTTGCCAGGTTAAAATGTTTGATTCATCAACTTGGATGTTACGGAAGTTTTTCATTCCAGACTTGCGGATTTCTTCAAGTTCCTACAACACAGGAAGAGTTTTATGACATGAAAAATCAACTCAGTATACGAGAAACTAAACAGCCAATCAAAGACAATATTACCTCTCTAATTGGCAGAAAATGGTTTTGTCTGTTAACCTATTAGTTACACTAAGACTGGTTAATTATCTGTCCCAATTACCCAGTAACTACTACATTTCACGCAGATGGCCAATTAATGTTATAAATAGAATACACCAACAACTCCTGATTGTCAGAATATAAAACTCTTACCCCCTCCCCAAAATATCAACTAAGTATTTAAAAATAATTACAAATCATTGTGTTACAAAACAAACTCAAAATATCTCTTGAGGAATGAAAGATACAAAACAAGACAAAAAATGAAATCACAAAAAACATAAAAGGTAAACAAAACTAAAATACAGCTGAATAAAACCAGATTTGAAAGTTCCACTACATAAAAGCAAATATAAAAATAATAAGAATCCTGGAATTATAGAAAATGAAACCATCCCACGAGTGTTAACTACATTTTAGTTAACGCAATATAAACTGACTAATGTTTAAACCCTTTTTTCCCCTCCCTGTATCGCAATTCAGCCCGATAAACATCCATCCATCCACACAGGGGAAACTGAGCGACAGCTTGTGTTTCTGTGTTCTCCCAGCCAGCAACATCGCTGGCACAGCCCTCAACTAACGATACTTTCAGTTTTGATTAACGTTGGCATGATCCCCCCGCAACAGCTTCAGCTCAAGCAGTCAAACAAGGAAGTAGTAAAGTGATAGGAAGGCATGTTAAGCCTCCTGACCGCCTAAATGTCGGGGGAGCGGCCGATTGGCACCGAGGCGACCCACTACCATGACACGAACAGACAGCTAGTCAGCGCCATGGCCGCACGTCAATCGCAAACTAACTACCCATCGGTGCTGTGATTGATATCTGCACTGGGGCTGTGTGACATCCTGCCACACAACCGGTTTTGCACAACCATTCAGATGAACCATTTACAACCGACAGCGTATTAGTCATGATCCAAACAGAGTAGGTATTAAAAGCGCCTGAACCCCAAGAAACCCGTCTCTCGGTATAAATTTATGCACACACACACACAAATGACAGTTTTTTTTATACTACTACTACTACTACTTCCACTTCTAGATCTGAATCTCTTTTGGTTTCATTTCTATGAAGGGCGCGCCGAAACTAAACTCCTTAAGTAACTTGTGTTTAAAAGCGCGTATAAGCGGCTGCCTTCCCAGCTTGCGTGTTAACAGCTGATCGCTGAGCTGCTCCCATACTTGTCTCACGCTCGGTAAGGACGGGCTTCCTGTGCTCTCACCCAGCTGCCCTGGCACGGGATTTCAGCACCCTATGAAATAATAGGTGCCCAACCATCCCTGTTAATCTCAAACACAATAACACTGCGAACTACAAGCGATCGAGGCTATAAAAATTCCCCACAGGAATGTTATTTTGATCAGGAGCCATTTCCCACTATTTACGGGGAAAACACCCCCCATGAAAGCCGGTTTCTTCATCTCCGGCCTGTATTACCGGTGCTTCCCTTACTCACTCACTGTGCCAGACAATATATTTAGCTTTTTATCTTTCAGCAGACTCATAATCAGATTAAAGTGAGCACAAGCTGTTCCCGCATACAGAAATCTATACTTTCACTTTCATAAGGGAGGCATATGATCGACCATGGGCACTTGATATACGGCTGTTTATTAGATTTTTTTAGGAAAAGAAAATAGAGAGATGAGGAGTTCTACCTTGTGCAGCCTCCTGCTCGCCGCCATCTTGGATATACTGGCTGTTCCCAGAATGCATCGCGGTGGCGGCGGCGGGGCGACGGGGAACTTCACTTCCTATAAACTACAATTTAGCGACACAAGTATAGCTTCCAAAATGTTAACGTGATTTATATGATAATCATATTTATATTATATTTCAAAACGAATGTATTCACCATTCCAAATATCACAACTGCCAAGTAACGAATTACTGATTGGCACGCAGGTATTGCAATATATTTCTTTAAGGAAAATAGCGCCCCCTAGGTAGTCATATAAGGCGCTTTGGTTAGCTGGAGTTTCATGAGAAGCCAGTAAGCCAGTTACCTGAAAAGAGTAACCAGGATGTTCCAGAAAGTTCCAAAGGTTACTTTTACTTTCTAATGCAAACTACAGTCCTGGAGGGCTGGAGCCCTACACATTTTTGGGTTTCCCCTCATTTAGCACACCCGATTCAATGAGTTGCACCACCTTGTGCTAATTACCGCACAGCTCTTGAGCTGAATCATTGGTGGTGGAAAGGGGAAATAATTAAGGTAAAGAGAGCTCTGGCCCCCCAGGACTGGAGTTTGACTCTCCTGATCTAAAGACTAAAGTGATTCATTCAAGGAAATGGCCGTTTATTTAGTTTCATTGCTGTGTAACTGCTTGTGTATCTTAGTATTTATTCACTTATTAAAGCAGGTCTGTGGGGATTGCTATTATTGGGTACTAAAATCAGCAATCCATACATTAATTTAAAATTTTATAGGCCCTGGGCTCTTTTGTCAAGGTTTGAATATGAATAACGGTATTTTTAAGAATTATTTGGTAATACTTTACATAAAATAGTAGTGTATAATCCTAGAAACAATCACTCCAATCATCACAGTGTTCTCTGACAAGCTAATGAAACCAAATGTGTATGCAAAAATATAAAAATTTGCAGAGTAGATCTTCCACCAGCATATATTACATTCTGGGACTTTGTTGTGGTTAACAACCTTATTACCAAAAAGAAGTAACAGATTTAGCAATGGATGTAATGACATTTGAATAACTGATATTCACAACAACAATATTTTGTTATGGCACAATCTTCATTTCTCTTTACCCAGTTTGACTTGCAGTCTATTGACTTTTTGTTTTTTCAAGAATATTTTGTATTCTATTTTTGTAGTACACTTTATAGTGATTTTGCCTGTCAGTAGTCAGTCTTAAATCGTTTCCAGTCTGAAAGCTTCCCGATATTCTCTTTCACTTCTCACCAGCTGTGATCTTGAGTGGGAATTCTAATTGCATTTATATTATTCAGACAGACACAATAGGTTTGCAAAACACACAGACAGATGTTTATTTTACTTGAAGTCATTTAAAACTGCCTAGTGAGGAAACTAAATTGAATGGTAATCAATCTGAAAATAACTTGATAATCATTTTCTAATATCTATAATTATCTGAAAATAAATATAATTACTTGTGGACACAGGGCACTGTGATAAAGGTGATAATACAGGGCTTTGAAGACCTTCCCAGCCCATAATTTTCATTCCCTTTTCCATTACATCATATCATGGTTATGAGACCTGGCATGGCAGCTTTATGAGGACTGCTGTGGCTCACACCTCCAGGGTTCAGGGTTTGTATCCTGCACTGCATGTACAGTATGTATGAGTTTGAACTTTCCCTATAGTTTAAAGGCATGCAGTTTGCTTAATTAACATCTCAAAATTGTCTGCTGTCTATGTGTCTCGGGGTTTGAAGGGATGGACTGGCACCCCCTCTGGAATACTTACAGCCCAATCCCTGAAAAACAGTAGTTAAATACTTGATGATTATAAATTTCATGTGTTATTTTCCATCCATCTATCTTCTAAACATTTATCCTGCTTAGTGTAATGGAATTTCGTATTTTTGTTTATCAATAATGAAAAAATTTAAAATACATTTAAAATTGCCATTACATTTCCATCACCACTCAAAGTCAATCTACAACAGGACTGTCAGGAATACACAATCATGCTCTATTTATACAAGCACACCAGTACAGGCACACAGGAATTCTTTGTTTTTCACAGTCTGATCTTGCTCTTGGATGACACACAGGTGAGAGAGAAGTGTAATACCAGCCTTTTTCTGGCACCTGGAGCCATTTTTTGGGTGGCCTTGCTCATGCACTGACCAGTGATATGATTACTCTGCTGGCCACAGGATACAGTGTTTTGGCCTTTTTGACACAGACACAAAACATAATCCGTAGCAATGTTAGATTCATCATGCTGAAAAAGACAATGGCTTTCAAAAGCAAATGGAAAGACTCAAGACAAATGAATTGCTGGTGGATCTGATGAAGGTGCAGCCATGGCAGGTGGGATGCTCAGCATGTGCAGACAGAAGTGACACCTCTGCTGTTTGCAGATAGTGATTTTGGCCTCATCTGACCAACCCCTCCAGCACAAATGAGAGCGATTTGACGCCAAGGTGAAGCAGCAGGGATGAGAATCAGCTGTGGTGCTCTCCCGGAGAAGAGAGAGTAGCTCCTATCAGGTGAGGGGGGAGAGCCTGCCCTTAGTGAAGGACATAAAGCGGCATTGGATCTTGCAGAATAGAATAGTGATACTTTCAGTCATTCCAGTGGGGAAATTGCCTTTTCCCAATTTTGTCCTCCATGAGTCACACAGACACATATACAGGATAGAGCAGTGGTTCCCAAACTGGGGGGCGCACCAATGTTATAGCCTCAGGGGCATGTGCCACCCTAAAATAATCTCTTCACAGACTGGACGATTAAACAAATAAAGCAGCGCAACATTACAGTAACTAACAATAAATGAACCACTAACTTACGTGTTTTTATGTAATTTATTTAAACTTCATTTTACCAGGTGAATTAACTGAAAACCAGTTCTCACTGCTTTACGTGATATTCGGGAGAAATAGCAGAAAACGCATCGGAACTTCCTGGGATACAAACGTCATACAAACGACACGATCTTCAGCCAATAAGGCAAAGTTGTGTCGTCACGGAGGCTGTTCCAGTTTGTTCAGCCGGCTGAGAGGTGCTGTACGATCTGTCTTAAGTCGTCTTGCTCCTGCAAGGTTTTTGTACCATGTGACATGGTGACGCGTGACGACGTTTGCAGCGCTGGACAAAAAAAATCTAACCATATCATGAAAAACAAGGTTTAAATTTTTCTACATGAAGTGCAGGGAGACTATCAATTAATGGGTATGATTTAGTGTTGTCTTGTGCTATGGTATAGGCTGAAACCTGCGGTTATCATTAAAAACAAAATGCGGTAAACGTAAGACAAACTTTAATTTGTGTACGCCAATGAATATTAATAGGAATGTTAAATATGCATTTGCACAATTTCAAACTTATGCTGGACTTTTATTTTTAATTGATTGCTCTTTTTTCTCCCACAGTGGTGAAATTGCACCATTTGTATTTTGTAATTGCATTTGTTTCAATTAGAAAAGGGAGTTGTATTTCAAATAAAGTTTGAATCTGAACCTGTGTAGTTTGAATGGGGGGGCTCAATAATGTTCATATTTAGAAAAGGGGGGCCCTGCAGAGAAAGTTTGGGAACCACTGGGTTAGAGTCAGATTTGGGGTCAGAGCATAAGGTCGATCAGCGACGATCTAGCACCCCTGAAGCAATAGGGTGAGCAGCGAGCTTCCTATGGGGTTTATCTACTGAGTCACACACCACCCAAAAGTATTGTGAATGAGTGTTGGTGAGAGGGAATGTATGACAGACAGTCAGATTGGTTTGGTGACTGCTTTTTTGCCAGCACTATTGGTCTATGATGGTAAAGTGGTGGTTAAGTCATAAGATAAGGCAGTTTACCCATAAGTCTACATTCTTAATTTTACCTAAGGCCCAAAAATCAAGGTCACAAGTAATGAAGTTTCTCCTTTGGATTGCTGGACTCACTCTCTGTGACAGCATGAACAGTTTGGAGATCAAGGGGAACCTTGAACTAAAGCCTATGCTCCTTTAGATTGAAACGATTAAGCTGACGCTGTTTTGGGCATCTTATGATGATGCCACCTGGACAGCGGCTAGGGGAGCTTTTCCGGCATGTCTGACAGGACAGAAGCCCTGGGGAAGACCCTGGACATGGTGGGGGGATTATATCTCCCAGTGATCGTACATAACAGCCAGGAGTATGTGGCCATAGACAAAGGCACATGGTCTGACCTGGTTGGCATGCTGCCACCACAACTCTCACCAGGATAAGTGATGGAAAGATGATGGTGATATTGATGATAGCAGGACTGAAGAAAGAACGGCATGTTTGTAATTATAGTCAGGAGACCAGTAAAGCAGCTGTGAAGGCTAGCTACCAATGAGCTAATGAAAGAGCAGCATCATCAGAACTGAACTCTGATGTGGAGTGTGTGAAGACATACACTATATTGCTAAAAGTATTGGGACACCTGCCTTTACACACACATGAGCTTTACAGGGTGTTCCACCTTAACTTGTGCACTCTTAAAACACACACCTGCAAACAATCTAATTTGGTATAGTCGTCTATTTCACCTGAAACACATAAACAATTACCAGACTAATACTCTTAAGGAAGTTACCTAGCCTTAACTGTCTCATTCTTAAAGATGGAAGCCAAAAGACAGGCCATCATTGATCTTGCTCGTGGCGGGAGATCGCCTAAGCAGATTGCAAGTGCCTTAAACTTACACAGAAACACTGTAAACAATGTAAAAAAAAATGTACAGAGAGTCAGGAGATGTGAAGAAAAGGTCTACTGGCTCACGTAGAAGTGTTCGAAGCAAAGACGTCATTAGGAAGGTGAAAAACCGAATAAACACCAACCCATGGCGCTCAATACACAAGATGGCAAAGGATGTGGGTGTGAGCACTATGTCAATGCATCGCATAGTGAAAGAAGACCTTGGTGCCACTTCTAGGGCCATCACCAGCACCCACCTAATAACTGAAGATTCCAGAAAGAAAAAGGTAGACAGGGTGAAACTTCTCTTGAATGATGTCCGGGTGGGCCCCCGGAAGTCTCTGCGCTGTCATCGCCGACGCCCGAGGTTCCTGCAGGGCTCATAGTTCCTGCAGCACCCTC